CCGTGCCTCTTGCTGCGCATTGCGAACAGGGTCGGCGGCACCGGCCGTCAGGCCTTCGCAATAAATCGTGAGGAAATCCAAAAAGAGAGTGGCATCATCATCATCAGCATCATCATCATCATCATCATCATCAATATCAATATCACTATTATCATCATCATCAGCATCATCATCAGAATCATCATCATCAGCATCATCAGCGTCATCATCATCATAGCAGCATCATCATCATCACCATCATCATCAGCATCATCATCAGCATCCTCATCACCATCCTCATCACCATCATCATGGCCGTCATCATCATCAGCGTCAGCATCACTATCCTCATCGCCACCATCCTCATGATATTCATCCTCTTTCTCCTTATCATCATCGTCCTCATCACCATCATCATCACCATCCTCATCATCAGCATCCGCATCATCATCACCACAATCATCATCAAGACCACCACCGTCACCACCACCACCATCAGCATCATCATCATCACCGCCACCATCGGCATCATCAACATCATCGGCATCATCATCAAAACCATCGCCATCATCCGCATCATCATCATCATCAGCATCATCATCATCACCATCACCACCATCATCATCATCATCATCATCATGATCATCAGAATCGTCCGCCTGCTTGTCTGTGTGTCCGTCCGTCCGCCCATCTGTCTTCAGCTCTCTGAGCTGTGGCGCTCTGGGCTTCTTAGGTCGGGAACGCGTCGGCCACGGCCGCCCTCTCCCTTGCCGGTGGCCCTGGCGAGGTTGGGGAAGAGGGTGCCGAAACGCGCCCACAGCCCAGCAAGGCATGAGGGTGCACACCCGACTTGTCTGGCTGATGCTCTGGGGGGGGCATGCGTTCAGGGGAGGCTGCAACACCGCTAACCGATGTGCTGGCCAACCGAACCTGCAGCGTGGGCCTTTTTCCCTAATCGGTGCTTCGGTGTGGATCATCGGCGCGCCTCATCTCCGTCGTCGTCGTCGTCGGCGGCGGCGGCGTCGTCGTGGTCGTGGGGTGTGTTGTGTTGCTCGGGACGTGTTCCCTTTTGCAGCTCCCAACCCACTTGGTGTGCCAAGCATTGCACGCCGCCTGGCTGTCCGTCTGTCCGTCCGCCCGTCTGCTTCCCCAGTTCGCTGAGCTGCGGCGCTTTGAGCTGCTTAGCTCGGGAAAGCGTCGGCCACGGCCGCCCTCTCCCTTGTCGGTGGCCCTGACGAGGTTGGGGGAGAGGGTGCCGAAACGCGCCCCGAGCCCAGCAAGGCATGAGGGTGCAAACCCGGCCTGTCTGGCTGATGCGCTGGGGGGAAATTGTTCAGGGGAGGCTGCAGCACCGCTCACCGATGTGCTGTGCAACCGAACCTGCAGGGTGAGCCCTGTTCTCAAATCCGTGCTTCGGTGCGGATCATCTGCGCGCCTCATCTCCGTCGTCGTCGTCGTCGGCATCGTCGTGGTCGTGGTGCGTGTTGTTCTGCTCGGGACGTGTTCCCTGATGCAGTGACCACCCACTTGGCTTGCCAAGCATTGCACGCCGCGTGGCTGTCCGTCTGTCCGTCCGTCCGCCCGTCCGCCCGTCTGTCCCCCCAGCTCTCATAGCTGCTGCACTTTGAGCTTCTAAGCTCGGGAACGCGTCGGGCACCGCCGCCCTCTAGCCTTGTCGGTGGCCCTGACGAGGTTGGTGGAGAGGGTGCCGAAACGCGCCCCGAACCCAGCAAGGCATGAAAGTGTAAACCCGACTTGTTTGGCTGATGCTCTGGGGGGAAAATGTTCAGGGGAGGCTGCAGCACCGCTCGCCGACGTGCTGTGCAACCGAACCTGCAGGGTGGGCCATGTTCCCAAATCCGTGCTGCGGTGCGGATCGGTTGCGCGCCTCGTCTCCGTCGTCGTCGTCGTCGGCGGCGTCGTCGTGGTCGTGGTGCGTGTGGTTCTGCTCGGGGCGTGTTCCCTGATGCAGTGGCCATTCACCACCACCACCATCACCATCAACAGCGTCATCATCATCGTCATCATCATCATCATCAGCATCATCCTCATCATCATCATCATCATCATCATCATCATCATCATCATCATCATCAGCATAATCATCATCAGCATCATCATCAGTATCAGCATCAGCATCATCATCATCATCATCATCATCATCATCATCATCATCATCATCGTCACCAGCATCATCATCAGCATCATCATCACCAGCATCATCATCATCATCATCATCATCAGCATCATCATCATCATCGTCGCCATCAGCATCAGCAACATCAGAAGCATCATCATGATCATCAGCATCATCATCGGCGTCATCATCATTATCATCATCAGAACCAGCAGCATCACCAACACCAGCATCATCATCATCCGCATCAGCATCATCATCATCATCAGCATCATCATCAGCAGCATCATCACCATTCGCATTGGCAGCATCATCATAAACAGTATCAGCAGCATCATCATCAACATCAGCAACAGCAGCATCATCAGCAGCAGCATCAGCATCGGCATCAGCATCAGCCTCATCAGCAACATCAGCCTCATCAGCAGCAACAGCATCAGCATTAGCATCAACATCAGCATCATCATCAGCTTCATCGTCGTTCACAGCATCGCCATTGCCATGGTCACAATCAGCCGCATCAGCAGCAATATCAGCATAATCAGCAGTAGCAGCAGCATCACCATCATTATTAACATCGTCATCATCAAACTCGTCACCAGCATCAGCACCATCGACGTCATCATCATCATCATCATCATCAGCAGCAGCAGCATCATCATCAAAATCGCCAGCATCAACATCATCATTATCGGCAGCATCAGCAGCAACATAATCAGCATCAGCATCATCGCCAGCAGCATCATCATCAGCATCATGATCATCATCATCACCCGCATCAGCATCAGCATCATCATCAACAGTATCGGCATCATCAGCATCCCCATCAGCAGCAGCAGCAGTCTCAGCATCATCACCATCAGCAGCAGCAGCCTCGTCACCACGATTACCATCACAATCACCATCAGCATCGTCAACATCAGCATCAGCACTGGCATCAGCATCAGCATCCGCATCCCCCTCCTCGTCCTACTTTCTGGGAGGAGCAGGAGGATAAGCAAGAGCACGAGGAGGGACGAGGACGCAGACGACGACGATGGGGAGGGAGACGGGGGGCGTGGGACGGGACGGAGACGTAGAGGGGGGTGAAATGGTAGAGGAAGCCAACCATGAGGAGATTGAATGGTGATGGTGGTGGTGATGGTGGTGATGATAATGGCAATGATGATGGTGATGATGGTGATCATCGTTGGAAGGAGGAGGGTTTTGGCGGTGATCACTACAGAGGGGAACAAAGCCCCGAACTGGGCAACACCCATCACGACCACGACGACGCTGACAACGATAACGGAGACGAGGCGCGCAGACGATCCGCACCGAAGCACCGATTTGGGAAATGGCCCACCCTGCAGGTTCGGCCACTTGAACAGCGCATCGTTCAGCGGTGCTGCAGCCTCCCCTGCACACAGCCCCCTTCCCCAGAGCATCAGCCAGACAAGTCGGGCTTGCACCCTCATGCCTTGCTGGACCCTGGGCGGGTTTCGGCACTGCCACTGCCGCCGCCACCCCCTCGTCAGGCAGGTGACGGCGACGGCGACGCGCGTTCAGCGCGCAGAGCACCGAGGCACCTGCACGTTAAACGAGCAGGGCGTCGAGGCACCTGCACATTAAGCGAGCAGGGCGTCGAGGCACCTGCATACTAAGCCCGCAAGGCGCCGAGGCACCTGTACTTTGAGCGAGCAGGGCGCCGAGGCATCTGCTGCAGGTTCTGCGAGCAGGGCGTCGAGGCATCTACAGTGAAGCGCGCAGTGCGTCGAGGCACCTGCATTTCAGCGAGCAGGGCGTCGAGACACTCGCATTTAGAGCGCAGGGAGCCGAGGCATCTACAGATTAAGCGCGCTGGGCGTCGAGGCACCTGCATATGAAGCGCGCAGGGCGTCGAGACACCTGCATTGAAGCGCGTAGGGCGTCGAGGTAACTGCATATTGAGCGCATAGGGCGTCAAGGCACCTGCATCATTAAGCGCGCAGGGCGTCGAGGCACCTGTACGTTAAGCGCGCAGGGCGCCGAGGCACCTGCATTAAGCGCAGGGCGGCGAGGCACCTGCATTAAGTGCGTCGAGGCACCCCCATATCAAGCGCGCAGAATGTCGAGTCACCTGCCGTAAGCGTACAGGGCGTCAAGGCACCTGCATTTAAGCGCGCAGGGCGTCGAGACACCTGCAATTAATCGCACAGGCCGTCGAGGCACCTGCAGAATGAGCGCACAAGGCGTCGAGACGCATGCATTATTAAGCGCACATAGCGTCAAGACACCTGCGTCAGTAGGCGGGAAGGGCGTCCAGGCACCTGCGTATTAAGCGCACAGGGCGTCGAGGCACCTGTATAATCAAGCGCGCAGGGCGTCGAGACACCTGCGAGAGTCAGGGCGTCGAGCGTCAAGGCAGCCTCATGAGTAATGGCGCAGGGCGTTGATGCATCTGCAGGTTCAGCGAGCAGGGCGTCGAGGCACCCGAATACAAGACGGCAGGGCGTTGAGACACCTGCATATCCAGCGCGCAGGGCGTCGAGGCACCTACACACAGCGCCAGGAGCTCCGAGGCACCTGTTTATCAAGCGCGCAGGGCGTCGAGGCATCTACAGTCAAGCGCGCAGGGCGTCGAGGCACCTGCATTATTAAGCGCGCAGGGCGTCGAGGCACCTGCATAGTAAGCGCGCAGGGCGTCGAGGCACCTGCATATGAAGCGCGCAGGGCGCCGAGACACCTGCAAATGAAGCGCGCAGGGCGTCGAGACACCTGCAAGATGAAGCGAGCAGGGCGTCGAGGCACCTGCAAGATTAAGCGCGCGCAGGGCGTCGCGGCACCTGCAATATGAGCGCGTGCGCGTAGGGCGTTGAGGAGCAGGAGAAGGAGGCCGCAGCTGCGGGGGAGCTGGGGGGGCGGCCTCCCCGACGGTGTCCCGGATGTCATCCTCTATGGGCAGCTTCGCGCCTCTTGCGCGGCGACGGGCGCTGCCAGCGCTGCTCCTGCTCCTGCTCCCGCTCCTGCTCCTGCCTCCTCCCTCCTCCCTCGTCGGGGACTTCAGGCGGCGGCGGCGACGGCGAGCAAGCGACAGCCACGACGACGGCGACGGCGACGGCGGCGGCGGCGGCGGCGACGGCGGCGGCGGCGGCGGCGGCGACGGCGGCGGCGGCGATGGCGGCGGCGCGGAGGCGGCAACGGCCGCAGCGACCCTGGAACCCGAACTGGGGCGCCTCCTGACCACGACCTCCGAGCCGCTGCCACGAGGGTCGGAGCAGGGCGAGCTGAGACAACGGCAGCCCAAAAGTCGGTCCCTGAATCCCTCCTGGGGTGGTCTGCAAGCACCAGTGTTCCGAGCTGCGTCCAGCTGTGGCGAGGAGGGCCCCCCCCCGAAAGCCAACTACCCTTTTTCGTCTCGACTTGCCCTCCTCTGAGAGGGCACCAGAGGAAGGCCCCAGAGAACGCCCGAGCAAGCTCCGCCCTCGAGCCTCCATCGTCGAGCGGCGGCGACGACAGCGAGCAGGCGGCGGCGGCGGCGCCAACCGGCCGGCGTACCTGTAGGCGTCCAAGGAAGACCCCACGAGGGCGTTCGAGGAAGGCCCCACTAGGGCGCCCGAGGAAGCTCCACCCTCGAGCCTCGATCCTTCGTCGAGCCCAGACACGCGATGTCTTGATTATTTCAATTCGGGACCCCGCAAATCCCGAGAGGCCTGGTGAGGGCCCCTGGAGGCCGAACGCAACGAAAAACCTCGGTCCTGATGTTTGTGAAGACGTTGCACGTCTGGCTCCGCCGTGGAGACTCGATCGTTCGTCGAGCGGCGGCGGCGGCGGCGAGCAGGCTGCGAGTGAGCGACGACGGCCACGACCACGTCGACAACGACGGGCCAGCGACGACGACGACGACGGCGACGGCGACGACGACGGCGACGGCGACGGCGAGGGCGACGGCGACGGCGACGGCGACAACGACGACGACGACGAAAACGACGACGACGACGACGACGACGACGGCGACGGCGACGGCGACAGCGACGGCGACGGCGACGGCGACAGCGGAGACGACGGCGACGGCGACAGCGGAGACGACGACGACGACGACGACGACGACGACGACGACGACGACGACGACGACGACGACGACGACGACGACGACGACGACGACTGCGGCGACGACGGCGGCGGCGGCGGCCCACGTGTGCCCGCGCGCACCAATACTGCGCACCCCTTCGGACCTGCGCAGTCGACACAAGGACAGGCCATCCGGGGGGGGGGAGCAGGCGGGCCCGACAACCTGGGGTATCGCTGGACCCTCAAGCGGCAGGCTCCCAAGCTCCGCCCTCGAGCCTCGGGGGCGACGATATGGGGCGCGTAGGCCCGGGGGGGGAGCAATGCGTGTATCCGGCGGCGACGATGGTCCAAATCTGCAGGCGAGACTTCCGGCCCCTGGCCTGTTCGCCCCTCTCTGATGGGCCTGCTTTCCACCACCACCACCACCACTATAAGTAGAAGGGGGAGGGGGTCCTTATCACTATTAATCCTATTAGTATCATCATTATTATTCTGGCTATTATTATTAACATTAATATCAGTATTATCATCATTATTCTTAATATTGTTGTTATTCGTCTTCTGCTTATTATTAGTAGTAATATTACTACTAGTATGATTACTTATTAATCTTCGTATCAGTATAATTATTATTCGTTTTAGCCTGATCAATATTACTATTATTATTGTTGTTATTATTATCATTCCCCCTCTTCTTCTTCTTTTTCTTCTTCTTCTTATTAGTATGATTCATCTTCTTATTGTTGTTAGTATGCTTATTAGTCATATGTTTCTTCCTCCTCCTCCTCCTTTACCTCCTCCCCCCCTCCAACTTATGGTGGTGGTGGTGGAAAAACAGACCCACCACTCTCGTCGCCTTCGAGAGCCGCTCGAGCGTCGATCGTTCGTCGAGCAGCGCAGGCGGCGAGAAGGCGGTGAGCAGGCGCTGCCCAGCCGGCAGCGCGCCTAGGCGCGGGCCCGCGGCGCCAGGCGGGGGCATCGGCCGCCGCCCCGTCGGCCGCCCGGCCGCGGGCCGCGGGCGGGTCGCCCGGAGGCCGGCTCCGCTGGCGAGGCGGCGAGGGGGGCGAGGAGGGCGAGGAGGGCGAGGAGGGCGAGGAGGGCGGGGAGGGCGGGGAGGGCGGGGAGGGCGGGGAGGGTGAGGGGGACGAGGAGGAGGAGGCGGAGGGCGAAGAGGGCGAGGAGGGGGAAGACGACGAGGAGGACGAGGAGGAGAAGGGCGAGGAGGAGGAAGAGGAGGAGGAGGAGGAGGAGGAGGGGTGAGGAGGAGGAGGAGGAGGAGGAGGAGGAAAAGGAGGTGGAGGAGGAGCATGAGGAGGGCGAGGAGGGCGAGGAGAACGAGGACCTGAAGGACGAGAAAGAGGAGGAGGGGAGGACGAGAGGGGCGAGAGAGACGAGAGGGGCGAGAGGGGTCAAAGTCAGAGAGGCGCGGACGGGAAGGACGAGGAGGACGAGGATGTCGCATTCAGTCGGGCATGTCCCCCTACAGGGGAATTTTAGACGAAACATGAAAAATTGTCAAAAAAAATACACCCAAATGGTCAAAAAATACGGAAAATCGTCCCCCGACTGTTTTTTTACTACTTTTGAAAATTCCTCCTGTGGAGGGGCAGGCCCGACTTGACCACAGCTCCCTCCGTCGTGTGCGCTGCGAGCCTCTGTCTCGTGTGCCCTTACGATATACGGGGGCAGGAGCAGGAGCCCTCTGGGCGAAGACCGTCTCCTCCAGCCTTCGTCGCCCGAGGGGAGGGCTACCAGACAGACCCTCCCCCACTCGACCAGCCGCCCACCAGAGCCCACGAGGCCCCCCCCCCGCCATCTCTGTCAAAAGCCACACAAAGCACACGCAGAAGCAAAGTCTGGACCCCCAGCAGGATCCCTCTCGAGCACTTGACACTGGTATGCTGCGCCAGAGATGGCGGGGGGTCATGTACAAGTCCGCTGTGCGCTGTCCCACTACCCTGTCAAGAACAAACTGCGAATTCCCTGCGCACAAAATGCTGGCCACACCGCCGCCTCCCTGCAGTGGTCCCTGCAAAAGCTGGCCAGGGATGCGAGGCGGGGATTTATTCATATCCACGCCCTGGTGCCCCAGCGGGCGGTGGGTATGGACATGATTTGGCCCCCGGGGGCCCGAATATATCCATATCCACCGCCTGCCGAAGTCACCGGTACCGCTCCAGGCCTCCCCCCCAGAGGAGAAGAAAAAGGACCAGAAGAATCGAGGAGGGAGGAGGCCACAGAGCCGCGAATATCACCGAA